ACATACCTTTGCCCAAATGTACTTGCGAGCCGTTGTTCGATCTAATACCGCGTATCGTTCTCACGATATTAGCTACTCCGCCGGCCAGCGTGCCAAGTGCGGAAACCCCCGCCAATATAGGTATTAATGTTAGAGAGCCACCCGTCTTAGGAACTCTGATGATGCGAGGCAGTTTATTATTTTTCGAACGCCCGCCCGCCGTCGCYTTCACGTGTTTGCRCGCGACGCGAACAGTCGATTTAATTAAACTACTCATGTTCGATGTTCTGGGACACGATTTCAGCGATTTTTTCAACGCTTTTTTACACACACCKACAATATTGGAAAATCCGCATCCGGCGCCGATCTTGCGTTTCGCCTTCATACCCGTAGTCACGAGCCACGCTGCGGCTTTTTCTTTATAATCGGCGTCTTTCGCCCCCACTCTGCTCCAAGCACGTTCTTCCAATATACTGTCGGCCACACCGCGGTCGGATAAAGAATCACTTTTATCGTAGGCTATATCGTGCTCCCTACACGCCGAATCCAAGCCGTTTATTCCTGGCTGCCCGAGAGCGAGTCTTTTTTTTAAATTAGTTCYCGGCCCGCAGTACTGATAACCGGGCAAATGTAATTCAATCGGTAGACTATTTATTACGGTGTTCAGCAGACCTGTACCACTATTGGTCTTGACCTTCGAACGCGGTAACATTATATGARCACGCTGCTCGAACGTCACGCGTATTTATACAATGAGATTTCTCAACCAAGAAATGAAGCTCAAAGWCGACAATATCGATTCACTATCGTCATGCGATACAACGCGYCCGCYTCGCCATGGRCCCCTATTCCCCAACGCGGTGAGAGCGCTGATCGTAGGCCCGTCGGGTAGCGGGAAAACGAACCTTATTTTCACTTTATTAGTACACGCAAATGGAATTAAATTCGAAAACGTGTATATTTATTCTAAAACGCTGGATCAAGCTAAATATGTATTGCTCGATAAGATTTTGAGCGGCGTYCCGGGCGTTAAACTATTTAAATTCAGCGATAACGAAACGGTGATCCAGCCTGAAAAAGCTCTACCTAACTCGGTTTTTCTGTTCGACGATGTCATAACGGAAAATCACGGTATCATCCGATCGTACTTTGCGAGATCTAGACATAATCTCATAGACGTGTGTTACTTAGCTCAGTCTTACTCGCGCGTACCGAAGCAGCTGATACGTGACAACGCTAATTTCATAGTGCTRTTCAAACAGGACGAGATGAATTTACGTCACGTTTACGACGAACACTGTTCGGGCGATATCAAATATTCGGAGTTTAAAGATTTTTGCATGACGTGCTGGTGTGGAGGTAGATTTGAATTCGTCGTTATCAGTAGTGAAAACGAACGTGATAACGGGCGATATAGACACGGGTTTGATACAWACGTAGTTATATAATAAGACGCAACGCCGAAATTCACTACATTAACTCGAGATCATGGACAAGGTGAACAACTCGACGACAGTATCAACGCCTGCGATATTGTCGGATATAATTCAAGCGACGGCGAATATAAAACAAAAATATAACGCGTTAAAAACGGGGCGGTTTGAAACGGARGCGTTAATAAATAACACATTTAGCTCGATTATCGAACCTCTTAGCGAAATAAGGTCGAATATCAAGAAGAAGCCGTTTCCGGAGGTAACGCCCTCACCGCCGCCATCGCTATTGACGCCAGATTCGGATTCTATTGTGGATCGTTTCCCTGCACCGCTCCAGTCACCGCCTACAACGTATAACGATTTGAACGCACGTTTCGGACCTTGGACTTAACCGGTGTTGGACAAAATAAAAAACCGTAAAATTATCTAGCGGTGTATTCAGATTGGGTGACAAAGAATTACAATTTATCGACAATGTAATACACGTCGAAGGCGATACGCGGACATATCCGGTGACGCGGGGCATTATCGATTTGTTATTTCTTAAATCCCCAGAGCCGACAAAATACACACAAACAGATTTAAATACATATAAATCGATCTTAATTCAGACGTCGGTGCACAGGACGTCGAACGGCGAACGTATTYGMAAATCTAAAGGACAGAAATCTGGAATAATTTCAAAATTGTTTTCTAGAAAAAGTAATATCAGAACTGGYGCGGGTATTAGCATGCGATTACAAAAAYACAATATCACTTATTGAAACGATCCTAACGAGTTGGTCGACAGATTGCGGTTATTGTATTCGTCGCTCGCGGCGGGCAATACGGGCGTTCGTAACGAGATAATATCGATTTGCGAGGAATTGGTCGAAGCTAAAATATTGAAAAAAATACCAAATGTCTAAGCGCGYGATAGCCAGCGAACTTCACGCGGCGGCCAGAAGGATGTACCCTCGACGCCGCGTCATTGTTTACGGAAAAAACGATTTATTTCAAGCGGACCTCGTTGACATGCAACAATATTCCGGCGTGAACAAATCGTATAAATATATACTCTGTATTATCGATTGTTTCACTAAATACTCGTGGGCCCTG